AACAAATGCTTGAGAATCCAATCAGTAAACCCCTATTTTATGAATGAAATATACTTTATGCACGACTCACAACTGATGGCGTATGTATTTTTCTCGAGCAGTCTTTCGTTCACGATCACTGCTCGAATCGCTAGTCTATAAATGATTCATTCACACTGCAAATACTAATAATGGACAACAGAACCTAATCATCTAACCTAACTTAAGTTATGCCTAAGTATTCAGCACATTCTACTATGAAATAATATAACCTAATACTTGAGATTTATACTAATAACAAATACGCATTCTTAAAATTTAAGAATGCGTATATGGGTTCGGCCGCCGTCTAGACGAGCCTAGCTTTAGGACAGATAGAAATGCTAAGCCAAAGTACTGCAATTGTTTATAAGTGTTACAAGAACCTAAACTCCTAACCTAACCTACACCGAACTATAGATATAATTGTTATACATAATATAAAGAATTTATATTGAAACAAAAATGTTAATATACAATACGTATAATTTCTATTAAATTGATGAGTGCGTCTTTGGGTTCAACTGCAAGATGGGAAAGAACTGCTTGGACAGGTTCGGTTCGCATCTCAATAAATTCCTTACCGATGTACTACAAATACATAAAATTTCCAACAGACACTAAACACCTAACCTATGGTTAACTAGAGACAAAATTCCAATATATAATACTTATAATTTTTGTATCAAAAGAAAACGAGCTCTAACACATAGAACATTAAAATGGTTGAATGTGTCTCTGAGGTCGGCCGCAGTTTGGTTGGCTGTTGCTGTTACCTAATATCGAGAATTCACGAAGAACTCGTCTTTGGACGGAAAGTTGAGGCTGAGGAACAAAATCTGCAGACGGAGAGTTACATCACATGCAGTGAGCTCCAAGTGGCTGGGGCCATATTCACAAAGAACTTACGCAAGTACTTACGAACGTGTACATCTTTCCTCGAACTTTGACGGCTTTGGTTACATTTATTAAACAGTTTACAAGCATTAAAACGTCCCAATTAACTGTTGTTATTGTTATAAATAGCCTCCTGGTGCTTCGGAGCTCATTAACTGTTTAATAATTGTAAACAAAACCGCCAAAGATTCAGGAAAGATGTACAGGTTCGTAAGTTCTTGCGTAAACGGCTTCGTGAATCTGGCCCCTGTACTCTGGCTGGTGTGTCTAGAATAAATCGTTGACTGGAGTAGCTCTTGCATGTTAAGTGGTAGAAGGAGTGATTGAAGGGACAAATTAAAGTCTCCACTGATTGGTTGATGAGAGGTGTGATCCTCCTCAATTATAAAGTTGCGTTTCACAGAAGATGTTTATATCGTTCAGGCCATGAAGCATCCCGTCCTCGACCCAAGTCCACTCCATCCAGCGGTCAACCCCACAAACGCATTCATAAATTTTTACAGCCTGTTCATTCAAAACAGGAATTTTCTCAAATATAAATTAATATTTTCATATATTAGCATATTGTGCATATATATGCATAGGTTAGGGTAGGTTCCGTGCTTAGGTTTTATTGGCGATTATTTGTATTTGTAGTACGTGGGTGAAACATTTACAACATTGTGGTTCGAATAAAATTCGTCAGTGAAGCACTTGTTCCGGAAGTGTTCGAACGAAATCAGTTGTGAGTCGTGTGTAACAGCCCGTCCTCCAAACAAAGATCCAAAAGTGATTCCATGCACCCGCCAAACTCCCTGTTTATGAATGAAAAGCGATTTACACACGACTCACAACTGCTGACGTTCGAACATATCCGGAACAAGTGCTTCACTGACGAATTTTGTTCGAATCACAACGCTATAAATGCTTCACCCACGTACTACAAATACAAATAATCGCCAACGGAACCTAAACACCTAACCTAACCTATCCTATGCCTATATATGCACAATATGCTAATATATTATAATATTAATTTATACTTGCGAAAATTCCCGTTTTGAATGAACAGCATGTTAAAATTTATGAGTGCGTCTGTGGGGTCGACCGCTGGATGTAATGAACTTGAGTCGAGGACGGGTTGAAGTCGACACATTTGGTGTTAATTCTTCATTAGAATTGGTAACGTGCACAGGTAAAAATAATGAATACCATGCTGAGTTGGTTAAGATATTTATGATGAACCTCATGAGGACAACAACATTATACAATGCCTAATATGAGATTGTTAATATTTGGTGAAGGAAAATTTAAGTAGAATATTCATTCAATTGAATAATTTTCCGATAATTATGAATTCTGTCACTATAATGGGATGTATTAGATTGCTGAAGAAAAGTGGGTCGTGTAGACTTTTGAAGACCAAAAAATATTCGTGTATTATTGTGTATACACATATGGGAAGTGTGAAAGGCTTTTATGTTCTCATTAGTTACCTAAATTATTGTATCTGTGTTTGTTATTCACTTGCTCTAACAAATGATCTGAGGATCTTGTGACCAAGCAAGTTAATTAATGTTAAATAATAGTAAAGCTCCATAAATAAAAACAATTCTTTAAGTTTAAATTTAAAAGAAAATTACCAAAAAAAAAGAATCAGCCCAAAACTCAACGTATGAGTGGATAAAGCTGTTGATCTACGAACAGTTTCCGCTCACCTTCACTTGGGCCTTGATGAAGCTATAGAGCCTGAACTGGTGCATAGAATGAAACCACAAAAATGATTGGAAATATTACAATATAGTCCCAAAACATATTATAATATGAAAAGTATCTCAGAGAAACCTGTTAGAAGAAATGTTTTAAGATTAATATTTCCTGATGCAGTGCTGTGGGAAATGATCCCACTTACTTATATAACGTGTCTTTAACTAATGCTATACCGGGAGTTTTAATTCCGTTGTTGTATTAACTTTAACAAATCTTAAAATATTCTAATAAAAACCATAATAATTAAACTTTCCATCTTCTGTGAAGAAAACGCGAAATTGCGTTACAATAAATATCACCTATCAGGCGTATTTACGTCTTTACTTAGATCCTACAAGCAGGCAGTGTGAGAATTGAATTGCGTGTGTTGAAATTTAGTTACTTATAACATTAAATAAAATAAATCCAAATCCTCTCCTTTCCAATAAGTGTATAAATTATTAATGTATCTCGAGAGAAAACGGATATGGTGGGGAGGGAAACGTCGTTGTGAAGATGCTAAGTATGTCCATAATCAGATAATTAACCAGTATTTAATCTGTAGCTTAATTATTAGTATGAATTTTTCTTTTTTAATTATTAGTATTGAATTTTGATTAGTTTCAATTTTGTCAGATAAATCAAACCCCAGGCTTGTGAGGAGTTTATTTGTGGGATACAATTAATCCATAAAGTCCACTTACAAATCAACAATTAAATAGTAAAATAAAATATAATTAATTTAATAAACAAATAAATAAAAACATATATAATAAATCAATATAAATTCCCACTGGTAAATTTCCCACAAGGGCTTTGATCTTATGACAATCACAAGAAATTTACTTTTGTTGTAAAATTGAAGGGGCTATTTAATTTAGTTGGTTAATTTTCTCAGGTGAATGTACAGTCCTTAAAATGAACGATGGCGCAAAAGTAGACACATTTAAAGGGGGTCAGTAGGAGTAAGAAAAGGTGTTTGGACAAAGTTACCGAAATCGGATTAGTTTTCGGATCCTCAAATAATTTTTGTTTAGTTAATTTATTAATAATAATATAAATTATGCACCACATTTCCAACCAGTGAGAGGTGTTGGAAACGTTTAGAGGTACATCCTGGACTCAGGAAATGAACACCAATATCCTGTTAGTTATGGAACTTACTGCATTCATGAGCTCATCAACGGGAGCTCTGAGGTGACTCGAACTCACAACCGAGAGAATCCACGCCGTTGATGTTTACCACTGGACCTCACTTAGAAAAAGCCTTAAAACCGGATTTCTACTGAAATCACAAACAGACAATAGGCCCCTTCAGAAGCCATGCTACGTTTTTCATGTGAACCCTCTAAGCACCCGGGAGTAGGCAACGTGGTTCATCCCCCATACGCTCCAACATCAGATACACAGAGAAATCACACTAATGTGATATATAAAAGGAGCGCGTTACAGACTGATAACTTTTACATCAACAGTCTACTCAACGTTTTTCACAAGTTTCGCAATATACAAAAATGTTACAAGGGTTGTGATTACATTACTGTACATTATTGTAACTAATGGTCCCGTATATCCATGAGATAAACAAATAGAAGACCTGCAGGTCCTGAAAGTTTACAATGTGTTCACTATTAATAGGTAAACTTGGGGTACGTGCCTGGGATTTTGGATAATACAGTATGTCATCTCGGATCAAATACGTGGACATGTTTACCGTAAGTGACAGAGTTGTCTCTAAACTTTTCAATTTGTTCACAATCATATACATATTTACGTGAATAATGTGAAAAGTTTTGCTGAATAAAATTACATTTAGTCAGATCTACTTCAAGAGGTGGTGCCAACTCCTAGACGTACCTGAAGACCAGATTATGCTCTACACTTGTTGCGTTTTGAAGTCTGCTGAATTTGTTACTTTTGACTTTGTTATTGCTGATTTTGTTATTGCTGACTTTGTTATTGCTGACTTTGTTATTGCTGACTTTGTTATTGCTGACTTTGTTATTGCTGACTTTGTTATTGCTGACTTTGTTATTGCTGACTTTGTTACTGCTAACTTTGTTACTGCTGACTTTGTTATTGCTGACTTTGTTACTGCTGACTTTGTTACTGCTGACTTTGTTACTGCTGACTATCCTACTGCTGAATTTGTTTGTTACTGCGGAATTTGTTACTGCTGACGTTGTTACTACTGTCTTTGTTACTTCCGACTTTGCTGCTGCTGACTTTGTTACTGCTGACTTTATTACTGCTGAATTTGATTAGATAATTCCTAGTCATGCGCTCTTCCTGCAATGCAACATGATAACTGATGGAATAGCGACTATAAATTTTACTTTGAAGTCTTTTAGATGTCGTTAGAGTTCTCGGTATGTTACTGCAATCTGGAAAATAATTTGCAGATTAAAATGATAGAACAATGTCAATCATTTCATTCGTAAGGGCTTGGTGCTTTCCCCTGATAATTCCCTCCCTCCATATGTTTTTCAATAATCCTAACATAACTAATTTGTAGTCACCCGAGATCACTGATTAAAATGTTATGCGTCTGGATAACAACGTCGTTGGTTAAAACTTCAAAGAAATCCTGTGGCTATGAAAGATAGGAAATGTAGGTAAGAGGAAGTCGTGAAATATTCAACACTGTTGTCTTTATGAACTGCCTTACGTAGCAGTGGACTGTAAGTTAATGATACAAGTCCAGGATCAAGGACCCACCGCGGGAACCTGTTTCTATGTGGAGACCATATTTAGTCTCCAGTTAATCACCAACTCCTTCATCTACAGGGATAAAAGTTCTAGCAGACTTCGCAAACGAAGCAGGAATAAAATTCTGCTATGTTTGTCCCTTAATTCCCCTTACCACTTGGGGGGGGGGGAAAGGGTTTTTATGTAGCTTCAGGGCACCAATCCCCCCCAGCCACTGGGCATGGCGAGACGGCACCCGTAAGCATACCTAATTCCCAATCAACACAAACTAAAATATCTAAAGATGGTAGAAGGCAATCTCAACCCACAAGAGTTAAGATGATAATAATAACACGTAAAAAGAAAATTATTTTGTATTCTGTTTTTCTTATATGGGACACAGCACACAAAGGGAGAGGTGCACAGTATATAATTAAGAAAGAACTAAAGCTGAGGGTAAAACAACAAGTTGCCTAAGCGGCAGGATTGGTGACTTGACAGCAGCATACATGGAAACAATTCAAAGTGGAAGCTCCTAGCAAGGCCCCGGAGCGGGAGGGTAGTCATGTATGCACAGGGGGGTCCCTCCCAGTACAGTGAGCAGATGTGCGCTCAGTGACACGGACGCCCAAAAACACAGACTGGACAAAGCCTGTACAGTAGCCCAGAATACGGGATGGCCACGGTAGCTCCCTCCCTCCAACAATGGTGACTCCCTCCCTCCAACCATGGTGGCTCCCTCCCCACTAGCCATGGTGTGAGGGAGGAAGTAAAGCGTGGTAAAGGTGAATGTAATGTGAGTGATCGAGAGATATGCGAGAGGTGGTCGAGTGAGACATGTGAGTGAAAAGTTGATGAGTCCGGGGCAAGATAATGAGGGACTGACCTGTAAGGCTGCCGCCGCCAGGAAAAAAGCAAACATCACTAGAATCCACTCGATCCAGGCCAGCTCTGTAAGAGTCGTCAGCGTATTATGTTTAGTTATCTTAGTATATACTAACCCTACAAACATAGGATTATACCTAAATGGTGGGAGTGAGTGCTCCCAAAGATACAAAGCCAGTATTCTCAACGCTGATATTCGTCGAGCCCTCACCCACTTCTCTGAATGGAGCAACGTGAGTAGGTAGTTTGAAAGAATAACACAGGAGTTGGTGAAAAATTACATACAGTAACACGGAGATAACACTACTATAAGACGACACTTGGACCGGTGGAACAATCCTGAACCAAGAACAGACACCACAGCATCTCCAATAAAATTATATTACAAATAAACCATCCACAGCGAACATAAAAAACAAAACAATAATGAAACAAATAATCCGAAAAGGTGCAAAAAACATAACTCCTAACCAAAATATAGACCTAATTATATACTATAAAACTAAGAACACTCGTCCATTAAAAACAGCCGGAAGCTGGCGGAGAACCCTTTACAGCAGTCAGACGCGGAATTCATGTACACTGGCCCCCCACGAAGGATGTAGCCTTCAATCTAAGTAAATAGGTATGACGTCGACCAAGCTGACGAGGCGTTTGACATGTCATCTTCAATCAGGTGCCCCTAAAAATCGCATGAGACAAGCCCAAGACATTGAGGGAATAATTAATCATTCAACTCTAAATACGTACAATTGTTCACTTCTCCTACCACCCCTTTTTTAAATGTTGTGCACTTTATTATACAAGGCTACTCATTTACATATCTGATTGGTTATAAGAAGAGAACATTAAGAGAAAATAAATGTAAGTATTTTCTAGAGGCTGTAGATTTCTTCGAACTCCTCCGACGCCGGGTAGGAACCGAAGATGCAGCGGGCATTTCCCCTCTGGATCGCTACTCTGAGGCGCTGGAAAATAAAACTTGCCGCTCTAGGGTTTCTTGTAGTTTTAATGAGCCTGGAAACAAGATTCTTAAGGGACCAATAGATTTTTTTTTAAAAGTTGTTCAATGTCAACCAATATTTTTTTACTAGTTTTATATGAAAAAGGCTGCAATTGTTCCATGTTTCAGTACTGCAGCCTAAATAGAGAGGGAGATTTATTTTTCAACGAATTTTACACATTTCCAAGTGTGTATATACAACCACACGTTTCAGATATAATCATTCTATGACACTTTTCTGACACAGCCCTGGAAGGGATTGGCACTTAGTGAGGAGATAAAGAGCATCGGGGAGAGGGGGGGGGGTATCGATGTCACCAATCCTGTCTTCGATCCCCCTGAGGTCTGTATTTTTTTTATACGAGGATCTCCTCAATGGTATTAGACCCAAGGGGAGCTCCAATGAGTGTGCAGTTCAGAGCCCTAATGACAAGGGCTCCGGGCAACACGGATCTTATTCTATTTATGATGTCTGGGTTGGAGGAGACTACTTCACACTTGGAAGGGTTTAGGGAAGTGACCCAGGCATGCTGTTTGCTCCTTTATTTTTCTGATGACTTCCATGAGGTAGTCTAGGGGGGCCAGTTATAGTGCCATCATCCAAAATACAGATGTAGAACTCGCTGGACCAGCTTTCGGTGATTTCTTTCAACACTAAGCCAAAAAGAACAAGAGGAGGTAGATGATCACCTTCCTGATCACCATCATGTGATCTGTTTTCGTGTTCGTTAAAGACCAAGATGAGGGAGGATGAGGGGACGGGAGTGGGAGATAGTGTGAAGGACAAGGGGACTGTGGAGTGGGAGAGGACGAGGAGACGATGGAGTGGGGAATGGTTGGGAGGATGAGGGGACGAGGGTGGGGGGGGGGGAGTTGAACCACAGCAACGCGTTACCTGTTACCGCTATATATATATATATATATATATATATATATATATATATATATATATATATATATATATATATATATATATATATATATATATATATATATATATATATATATATATATATATATATATATATATATATATATATATATATATATATATATATATATATATATATATATATATATATATATATATATATATATATATATATATATATATATATATATATATATATATATATATATATATATATATATGTATATATATATATACGTATATATATATATATATATATATATATATATATATATATATATATATATATATATATATATATATATATATATATATATATATTGTGACTGTAAAGTGTTGGAGTGTTGATGTTCGGCAGTCCTCCAATGGCAGGTGGCAATGCCTTGTCACATTTACAAAAAAAAAAAGAGACTGCTTGCTTGTTTGTCTGTGGTAAGGTAATGGGAAGACACACAAAACACAAAATATAAACAATGAAATTTTAATTACTTTAGAAAACAAGATATGAACAAAGACAATCCCTTGGCTTACGTAAAATTCAAAACAAGTCAACAAACAAAACATGAATAATTAATGAATGTAAAATTTACTCTAAAACAAAATGAAGTGCAAGACAATAATAATATAATCAGGTGCTGAGAATACTGGCTAAAGCTGCCACCTCCCTTAGTACACGACAGCCAGGGCTTAGTCTACCAGAGAGAGATGTCAACTTCTGGAGCACAGAGATATTCTGAGGAGTTAGGGCGTGTGCTGGCCCAGACGTTGACTCAGGGAGGGGGCGTGAGTGCAGGTGCAGGTGCGGTCGGCGATACACCAGCCAATCAGGAGCAGGCAGGCGGAGAATGGGTAGTTTGCTTATTGACGACGGGCGGAGGAGCCGGCGTGTCTGGTGGTGCAAGGTATGCTTTGCTTCCTGGGCAAAACGTTTGGCGATACTGGTGGACGTATCTTCAATATAGTATCTTGTACTTGTAAGTTGACGTGAATGATATAGGGAAGAGCAGGCTCAATCTGTCATGAAAGAGATTCCTTTTGTAGGGTCTGATGGTGTAGTGGGTTAAAGCATACTAGTTATGGCAGCTACTAGAAGGTAGTTGTGCTTTCTGGGTTCGAGTCCCACTGGTGGGTGTTGTCCAAAGATTGTTAATCTTCACTTGTGGTTTATGCAAGTATAGGCTTATAAGCTGGACACGAGTTCTCTCACATTGACAGTGGCTTGACGAAAAATGCAGACTAACCCCACACTCATCTGGTGCCCTCGGGAAGTGGAGATATTTGGGATGTATATATATATATATATCTCGAAGCCTCTACTTCTTTTGTAGGGTCTGATGGTGTAGTGGGTTAAAGCATACTAGTTATGGCAGCTACTGGAAGGTAGTTGTGCTTTCTGGGTTCGAGTCCCACTGGTGGGTGTTGTCCAAAGATTGTTAATCTTCACTTGTGGTTTATGCAAGTATAGGCTTATAAGCTGGACACGAGTTCTCTCACATTGACAGTGGCTTGACGAAAAATGCAGACTAACCCCACACTCATCTGGTGCCCTCGGGAAGTGGAGATATTTAGGATGTATATATATATATCTCGAAGCCTCTACTTCTTTTGTAGGGTCTGATGGTGTAGTGGGTTAAAGCATACTAGTTATGGCAGCTACTGGAAGGTAGTTGTGCTTTCTGGGTTCGAGTCCCACTGGTGGGTGTTGTCCAAAGATTGATATATATATGTATATATATATATATATATATATATATATATATATATATATATATATATATATATATATATATATATATATATATATATATATATATATATATATATATATATTATTAAATATATGTATATATATATATATATATATATATATATATATATATATATATATATATTATTAAATATGACCGAATAAGTAAGATTAATAATTCTAACACGAATTTTCTCGATCTTTCTTACGTTTCTTTTCACTGTTGTTGGTAATTCAAAAATCAATTCTCCAAAATTAATTTTTATTTCTAGTCTGACGCGACACTTGAGCGCGTTTCGTTACCCTTATATACGTCATTCATAAAAAAGACGAATATCTGGTGAAAATTAACCTCATACTCTCTGACCAAACTAAATTCCAAAGGGTAACGAAGGACACTACAGCCGAATTGAAAGCAAAGGTCAACAAATTGATCAAAACTGTGAACGCCAAGAAATCCGGACTCTACCTGCCAAAGATTATTGGGGAATATAAACCTGGATATGCGTATGGAAATGTCAAGACACACAAGACTGAAAACCCACCTTGGCCAATCATCAGCCAGATACCCATACCCACGTACAGACTGGCGAAACGACTCAACGGTTTGCTGACTCCTTATGTCCCTTGCGCCTTCAGCCTGAACTCTCCAAAGGAATTTGTTGACTTACTGCGGGGAACACGGGCCACAGGGATAAGAGCCTCGTTGGATGTAGAATCACTGTTTACCAACGTACCTGTGGATGAAACAATCAGGATGATAGCCGAAAAAGTGTATCGTGATCCGGCCTGTACTCCTCTTGACATACCAGAAAACATTCTAAGGAAACTACTCCAAGCTTGTACTAAAGAGGCACCCTTCTTGAGCCCGGATGGACACATGTATAAGCAAGTAGATGGGGTCGCCATGGGTTCTCCCCTAGGTGTCCTGTTTGCAAACTTCTACATGGGTACCATCGAGCAAAAAGTCTTAGTCGACATGAACTTGAAACCGGCCATATACTGCAGGTATGTTGACGACATTTTTACACAGGTACCTGATCAGGTACACAGGTACAGGTCAGACATCTGCAGGAGCTGAAGGAGGCATTTGAGCAGAATTCTGTGTTGCGTTTCACTTATTGCGTGTTGCCTGTTGCGTGTTGCGTGCCATAGGCACAATCAGAGAACACTGTATAAACATCAGAGGTCCGCGGTTGTTCAACGTCCTCCCAGCAATAAGAAATATTGCCGGAACAACCGTGGACGTCTTCAAGAGGAAACTAGATTTATTCCTCCAAGAAGTGCCGGACCAACCGGGCTGTGGTGGGTATGTGGGCCTGCGGGCCGCTCCAAGCAACAGCCTGGTGGACCAAACTCTCACAAGTCAAGCCTGGCCTCGGGCC